ACAAATGTTGCTCACATTGATCTCGTTCTACCTTGCTAAAAGATCAGCTACAAAAGCGAAAGCCTCCATTCAGAAGCCCTTACGGAACCCCTCATTTTCTTCTGAAATAGATAATAACTCAAAAACCCCAGTTTCATTTTGTGAGTCTCCATGACCGATTATCAGGAAAGCTGTCTGAATCACTTATGTTCACAAGGTGTCTCACAATCAAATGCGAGACCTCCCCAAAATTCTGAATTTGGACAGTTTTCTTATCAATACTGTCATTTCCAGACCCTCAGGTAAACACTTTGACAGCTTTCTTCGCAAACACTACCACTGAAAAATCAATTATTACTTGCAATTCAAACCTTCTTAGACAACTGCGCGAGAGCATCTGCAGTGGCATTCACGAGATCAGGTGGCCATAAACAACTCTTGTAATTCATTATGAAGTGAGCAGACTACAAAAACCATTTGAAGCAGAGTTACGTTAGTGCATGGTGAGTGAACTAACCTGGACAGGAAGGGACTTTGCTAGCAATCGTTTCACAACTGCTGTGCGGCTGCATAAGGTGTACTTTCGAGGAATTGCATTACCACGGAGAGCAACGAAAATGTCAGCACCACAAATACAACAACAGCGTATTTCTAAAAGGATTTCAATTCCAGTCACTTACTATACTTGTTACTTTACAATGTTGAGATGATAAATGGCAAGTATTCTCACCCTCTTCCAAATCGCCGACCAAAACCAGTTTTGATTGCTCCACATCGAACACTGTTAGACACGAACCAGAAAAGGAAAGAATCAGTGGAACCCTGAAGAAATACCTTTGCACTTATGAGTAATTTCAAGAAATGGCTGTAAATAGGTCAAAGCAGAAAGCGAGAGGATTTCGCATTTTGAAAACCTACTTCAGCATCCCCTTTTCACTCTTGCTCTCAACGCTGATATAGGCAAGATATCATAAATCCAAACTGTGGCGTGGCGTAGCGGGAAATGGTGTCAGTCGCGCAAAAAAAAGATAGAGGCCTAGTTTTGAGAGAGCGAATAATAACTAATGAACAATGTACTTTTCGAATCCTCTGCATGAACACAGGAGCATGAATGGAAGAACACGAACTTTCATCAATGTTGAACTTTCTACCTTTCACACTCTTTGATTGATATCGACAATGACATAAACTGAACACGAACGAATTTTTACAGAGATTTCTCCAACAAGTTTTAACGAAATTCGTTGCAGAGGGCGTTTTGACACTGGCTTTTTCATGCGAACATGTTTTCCTGCGTCGTTTTCTCGAATCCTGCCGCCACTTCTGCTTCGATAGTGATGGCTGAGTTGACGACTGCTCTTGATTCCACTTGTTTCATATTCAGTGTTTCAAATGTTCACAAATGGGGCACCTGCAATTTTGCGATCCGTCGCAGGTTTCGCGCAAATCGCGTGAATCGTGCAAATCGCGAAAATCAGCGTGAATCTGCGACGGATCGCAGACTCTGACACCAGCTGAGTCAGATACTCGAGTTACGCTGACTGAGAGCTGTGCAGCTCATACTTTGACCAGCTTCGAGATTTCCTTCATATTTGTCGAAGATTCCGACAGATTATTCACGATTTAATGCTCGTTTCCCAAACAGCACGTATTACTGCTATGTAGACATTACGACGAGGCGTGCGCTATGAATTCGGAGAAGCATACAGAAATTTAAAACGATATTTCTTCGAAAAATCGTGCTTATCATTGTCTAAAGACTATCATTCTAAGCGTATTCGTAGATATATTAGATCAAATGAATGTGTGAATACCAACGTATTATGGATCACAGGCAAAGCAGTTAAATTCTCACATACCCGTCAACGATGATATGTTGCAGCACACTCAAAGTGGACTGCATCTCTCGCTTCGGCATCACCAGCATCGATATTTCTTCGGACACACGAATAATCATTGCGGCATGAATAATGGGAGGACGGGGATAAGTGGCATTCTCTCGGAGTTGATGAGTCCTATGAAAAAAGAGAAATAAGCAAAAGCAGTGAAAGATATCTGAGCTATTTAGCCTGGCCAAGGGAATGGGATAAGGAATTTCAATGATAAGGAAGCTTACGCAAGAAAAAAAGTTTCCTGCGGCCGAAATCGGCAGACTAGTTCTGACTAAAACTGAGAAACCTACCTGTAAACAACTCCAGCAGCATTCGCTTCCCAGACTCGACCATTTGGTCGGGCAGCAGAATGAAGCGCCCTTGTTGAGTAACTAGACGAAAAGACAATTCTTCTTGTGCAGGAGAGATGAAACACGCACCCATGAGCCCATTACGCGGTTTCTTCCCTATCTGTAAAATGGAAGAATCGTTAAAAGAAGTACTATCCTGAGAAAATGGGAATGCTAGCATACTTGGATAACGCTCTTTTCATCTACATTGCAAACATATGAAGCACTCTGCGTGGATACCAAGACATTTGGTCCATTCACGTCTAGCTGAACGATTTGTCCTTCCTCAAAAGTAGCAACAACGGCACAGGAGGAACGGAAGAGATACCTTCGCCTATTAAAAAAGAAGATATCACATCTACCGTGCCGCCTTAATCGTTAACAATCAAGTGTAAACGAAACTTTTGAGCACTGTGTATAGAAACAAAAGCCAACAAACTCACATCTAAATAATGCACCATGACAGTACCATTTTCATGACCCGAATATAGTCTTTTAGAATCTGTGGACCACATCAAACTAGTTACCTAAAAAATTATATTGCAAAAATTCAGAAATATTCAGCATACAAAGCAGTATGAAACTCAAATAATTCAAAAAAGAACTGATGAATGGATTTTCTGTTCACCTTGATAGGCTTTAGAAATTCAATGATCCTCTCTCCTCAAACAGCCGCTTTCCTAGTTGGGTTTAAGACTTAACCGCAGAAAAGGTGAAAAATGAGATAAAATTTCGTTTCGAAACATTCTACCAACACCTGTTCTAAACTGCTGATGACTCTTTCCTTAATTAAACCATGAGACAAGACCAACTAGCGCCGATAATAATTTGTTTTAAACGACGTTTCCGCGTATTCATAAGTTAACCTCAAGAGTAATATACGTTTTTATCAGCTCTTCCACTTCTATTGCGCTATGAAAAAAAAGAGTACGAGAAATGGACTCTCAATAAGTTATATTTTCAGAAATAGGGGGAAGAAACTTTCAGATGCTTAACAGACTTTAGTAAGAGCTTACTTTCTTCAACCTTCTAGTGTCTCTTGTTAACAGATGTTTCACAGGAGATGGTGATGTAGAGAACTCTATTGCATGAACTCGTCCACTATCACTTCCAACAGCTATGAGACCTTCTTTTGGAGCAACACACAACTGAAAAAAGGTCGCACATATGAATGTACAAGAGGTAGTATAAAGAATTTTGGCTGCCATTGAAATTCATTTGGATCATGGTAGTGACTAGGCTCTTCCATGCTTTTACGCCATTTCGAATCAACTAACATCCAGTGCGCAGAAAGTCCAAGGTTTACCAACGAACTGGTTACGCTACCACGTCAACACACCATCGGCACTACCTTAGCACGCGCTTTTGGCGTGCTCAAGTTATACACTTATGTAAAAGTTGCCTCTTGCTAATCTTCTCTTGAAACTTTTGACACAAACTCTCACACTGCCTTATAACACGTGGAGTTGCAATGAAGAAACTGCAGAATTAACAACGACCAACGTGGGACCTCTTCGCATCTGCGGCAGGTTTCAAAAGAAAGAAAAGCAGAACACAAGAAAATAAGCATACGACAAGGAAAACCGGAAATCGATGGCGCTCATAGATATCCATTTCTTCACTTGGGAAGCCACGGGGTATAAATTAGATTTTCTGCATCCATATTACATTTGGTGGATTCAGCGCGATGGACAGACCACTTTCATAGGAAACAATTTACAAGTCGGTATTCTCCGTTAGAACTTCTGAGAAGCTAAGCTTTTGCTGCGTCTTCCTCTGGATCCTCATTTCATAATCATCCTTTCTATCACAGCATCGTGATAATTTGTGTATCGATGACGGCAACCTTTGCTCTCCCTCGCTTTACATGTAGCACTCACTGGTATACTCCCTACCTGTTTGTGTAACTGCCAAGCTTGGAAACGAATAATGGGCAGGATTATGCAAAGGGGCTGGTTTAGATGCAACACACAAGTGAAGACATGGCCCGAGGTATATGGTGAAATAAGCTTCACGACCACAAAATGGTAACGCGTTACTGATCTAGCCTTCATACAAACCCAATCAATGACACTACTTTACCCTTGCAGATGCACAAGAGCTACGCTTATCCCTATTCAATGCCGCTCGAAATGAAGATGAGCGCTTGGTCATGAATCAAGAAGCGGTTTTTTTAAAGTGAAGTTTCATAAAGATGGTTGGGCACAATAAAAAAGAATAACCCACGAAAAGACCATCATCTATGACTCCTCGAAAACACTTCAGAACAAAGGCGCAAAATTTTTTTTTTTTTTTACTCATTTCACGCTAGTGCCACCTTGACCGCAGAAAAATAAAAAAAATCAATTCTTACCGCGCTCACGGGGCCATCCTTGGTGTTGATGAAATGGAGAGGCCCGCTGGGAGTGTTGAGACGTTTTCGAGATGAGGAATAACGACCATACACAGACACACCACCGGTCGAAGTACCAAGAATCAAAAACTGAGGTGACACAGCGAGGCACGTCAACTGAAAAAAACGGGGTTCCGCGGGAAAAAGCTTCGCAGCAGTCTATGTTGAAGCGGTCCAATAGCAACGTAAGGTTCTCGCCTAATCTAAAAAAACAAAGCAGTGAAGTACCTTTGACCGCTTGGATGAACTTGATGTCATCATTAGATGGTCCAAGGTAACGAGCTCCATAAGAAAATGGGTGGGAGCTCCATCAGGAGCATCATCCACAACATTTGTGAGGATGTCGATGACGAAGGAACATCCATGACATGCGTTCAAGACAGCATTCTGAAATGGCTTGTTAGCCGACTCGAACGGTGCTAGCGGAAAATTAATAAGCCTAGCCTATTACTCAATAAACATTTACTACCACATAAAAAGCAATCAATGGAAAACGGCTTCTTGATTAATTTCTCTCTCCAATTTATTGTCCTCAGGAGCAAATCATAATATTTTTGAGTACGACTAGAATAGATACGGCCAGACGTCTGAAGTAATGTGATTGCGAAAACAAACGGACATAGATTGCCTTATGGCCACGGTGACTTAATAACGTGAATCGACCCACCGTAATCTGAGTGTGCTTCTCCCTCAAATGCGCCTTGCGTGCGCGCTGCGCCCAGCTTTTGTTTTGGAAGCTGATCTAGATCTCCAAAATGAGCCTACGGCAAAGAATCCTCGCCTCACACTGGAGCCGAGTAAAGGTTGGGGGAGGGTCGTGTTTTAATTGGGAGAGAAGCGAGGGATGGAGGGGTTTCGGTGAATCAGTAGTGGATTGGAAAGGGGGAAAACTTTGGAGGACCCAGGAAATTTTTGAGACTTTCACGAAATGTGCGGGGGTTCGGTACCTTCTCTTTCCATCTAGGATGAGGTACTTTTTACAATATGGAGCCGCGAATCCTACACAAAAAATCAGCTAGGAAAGAGGTCGGGTTGGTTTCAGAGTGAGTTCTCGTCACGGTGCTCCCTCGGAATAGATAAAATGAACGTATTTTCTCGAATTTTGAAAAGCTGGGTATCGCTGAGGTGTGAATCGCTTTGGCTGACATCACCTTCTTTGCTTTTTTGCACTCGCAGTTCTCTGATTCTTCTCACTGTACTTATCGATCTCTTTCTGCGGGTTCTTCCCAGCTCACAGGTTTGAATCCTGCCTTAGGACGGCAACAATCGCTGATAACTTCTGTAGTGGCTGTGTGTCACACTATGACGTGAGAGGGCACCGCTTCCACGTCCGAAAACTCTGTTGTCTTTATCAATCAGCGTGCTAGGTCGATACAGTCAGAGGATGGCCGATGTCAGACTTTGCGATTGGAGCGATTTTGCACCAATTGCAGGAGCGACGGATCGCTCAAGCGATGCGAGCGACGGGAGATTTACCCGAGCGGCGCCGTGTGTATCGGTATTCGGCGGGGTAAATCTCCCGTCGCTCGCATCGCTCAAGCGATCCGTCGCTCCTGCAATTGGTGCAAAATCGCTCCAATCGCAAAGTCTGACATCGGCCACGCAGACAGATTTGAAAAGAAACTGGACCCTGATAATGTCTAAGAAGCATCTGGTTGCGCTTGAAGATATGTACATCCTACAGTGCTGCTTACTCTCAGTAAACAATGACTGCACTCCTCCAAGTTAGTTGTTTAGGATACTCTGTGCATACCGTCCTTCGTTTTGGTGAGGGTCCAGGTCTGGGTGATCTCCCCCGCTCCTCTGTTCCCTGCCTCTACACAAATACCTCCCAGCTCCTGAAACCCGGCAAATGAGGGTGGAAGCAGAAACAACGGACATGCCCTTATATGCTTTAGAATCTCTGGATGCTTCTCAAATTTTAGAGGTACAACATTTTAGAAAGTACAACATGAAATTCCTCGTGATTCCATCCGTACCATTCCCCTCCCTCTACACTTAAAAAAACCAATCCCATGATGAACCCCGTTGACGATCAACACGTGCTTTTAAATGCCATAAATGGAATAATATCAACCACATCAAAAGCTTTTACAATGAGCCTTTTTTAATTACCGCACTAAAAATTCATAAGAAGTATGCAAACGGTGCTTACCACTCATGCAAGCATAGACATCTCAATGCTAGATCGGAATGCTTTGATCAATTCGAAAGCACGTTCAATTTTGAAGTCCACTGATTGAAAAAGGAAAAAGGTATTGTCAAGAGGCATGTGTTATTGATATAGACGAATACAACTGAGGAAATTGAAAGAATTCCTAGTTCCGTCAGAAATCATGACAAGCAGTATACAAACATCAGTTGTATCATCAGTGCAATCATCAGTGCAACATCAGGAAATATTTTTCAAATTAAATACTTAAATATTTAGACGTACAAATATGATCCCGTTGAGTGATATACCAGCAAAGAGTGCTGAATGTTACAATGATTCCAACAACAATACCTAACTCAGAAGAAGCTGTCGTCAGTAATTAATGTCGTCTGCAAGTAAACAATAATCCTAGCAGAATCAATAGAACTGATTCAAAATGCATGAGCTTCTACGTCATGCTCATATTACATGAGTCACATTGATGCAAATTACACAAAGCACCGCATTTGCACAACCGTCACTGGACTGTGGGGAAATCAATGTCTGTTTAATTACTAGTCCCCTTCCGAAAAAGGTCACGACGAATTCGTAGCTCGCGGTTCCATTCGACAAAGGGTTCAATTGTGAAGGCAGTTTTTGTCGTTTCGAAGAACTGCTCCAAATCTAACCCTAAACAAACAAATATTACTAAATGAAAGTCAAATTTCAATATCGCACGTTGCCGTTATTGGGGAGGAGAATTGTTTTGTTCACACAGCAGGATGTCACAAACGGCTTGTGCTAACGTAATATTAATATTGCAGCGCATTGAGACAACAGAAGTGGGCAGCGTTAAGTGTGTGTCGTGAAATCTGTGACAAGCGGTTGCGTGTCTCAAGCGGAGAGTGACCGTACATGGCGAAATCGAGTGTAAGAAAGCCAGGGTTTAAAAAATATTTCAAAATTTTTCACAAAATCTCAGGAAATCTGGTTAAAATACTCAAGTTTTTCAAATCTACTGTCTCGAATGCAACATTTCCCATTCGTAACTGCGCCTCTTCGAAGATCGAAAGCAGAAGAATGGTTTGTAGGAAATGGATGGATACAGCGAGAACAATTGAGACGGGAGGAGGGGTGAAGCGAGAAATTTTCACGACGCTATTTGACACTAGTAGTAGATATCCTATCTTAGGTATAGGATACATTTTGCGGACGGCAATGCGCAGATTAACCAAATTACCTTCTACAAGGGAAATTCACGTCCATACAGGACTGCTCAGTGCTAAGTGCTCACGTAACCAGCTTCTGTTAAGATGAATGATTCCGACAGAAATGAAATTTGAATCAAAACACCCAGAAAATTTCCCAAGACTTCCAAATGAGTGGACCCAATACATCAAGAATCAAGCCAGTTACTCACCATATTTCCGCTCGTAATCGAACGCTTGAACAATCATGTCAAATTTGTCCAAGTGCTTCACAATCTTCGCTACCAAAGTTTCTTGGCCTTCATATTCCCTC